TGTTGGAAATTCAATCCAACTGACTTGGCCTTGAGCTTACACACAACTCTGTTTGCTTCATTAATGGTTTGTACTGTAGCATGTTTGAGACGGGATGCTAAATTACTAGCATCAAACATCACATCAGGCCTGCTCTGTCTTGCCACCCACAGAAGTTGGCCAATCTTAGATCTGAGCTGCTCTGTCTCCTTCTCAGTGAGAGGTGAAGCTGACTCTGCTGCTCGTGAGGGTGAGAGGTGTATGGGACTGCAGGTGCTGAATGTATGTTTCTTGGTGTATTTGTACCTTCTTACCTTCAGTAACAATATCTACCCCCACATAGGAAAAGCTATTGTGTGCTTCACGACCGACATTAAACTTTGACCTCAGGTGAGGTATGACTGACTCTGCAAACATGTGTGATCCACCCCATAAAATCATCAGCATGACAAGCAAGTACACCAGCAACATTTTTTCGCTCATCCAGCCAATAGAAAACTGCAGGGTCAACCTTAGACATGATGCCTCCTGCTTCAGTCATGATGCTTTTTACCCTGTTATACCAATACAGTGAAGCATCAGCTAAACCATACACACATTTTCTCAGTTTCCAAAGCACACCTGTGCTATTGGCCTCTCGGGGAGGTTTAATGAAATGTCTCTGGACAGTTCCATTCCTTGTAAAAAGGCAGATTTAATGTCCATAGAGTGAAGTTCCCATTGTTTTTGACATATAACTGCCACCAAGAGTCTCAGTGACTCTGAGGCACAGGTTGGAGAGTCCTTTTGTAGGTCAGAAACTTGTAGCTCCTCAAATCCTCGTGCAACAAGTCTTGCTTTTGGTATTATTCCATTTTCAGTCTCTTTCAGAGTGCACACCCAACGAGTGGAGACACACTTTTGTCCTCTGTCCTCAATTTCCTCAAACACTTGGTTCTGTTTCCAGCTTTTTATTTCATTTTCTTTTGCTTCATCAAAACGATATGTCCTTACTCACAAAAACATCCTCATGCATATCTGTATCCTCAGCATCTTCCTGGATCTGAAGATCCTCCAACTGTGACAGATCAGCTGACTCACTGTTGCCAGCCACTTCTGCTGGCTCAAGCAGTTCCAAGTTAAACCAGTTCTTGTATTTCCCAGTTGCTTTGCCGGCACGTCCAACACTTTGGCTTTTTGTGAGACACCGTCTGCATTTCTGAATGTCACAATTTGACCTGTCTTTATGATGGTGTTCCCAGAGAGCTGTCTCTCAGCCTCTGCATTTTCAGGAGCAGGCAAAGGATGATTCTCAGGATTTACTGCAATAATATCTCCTCCTACATTCTCTTCAATGATGTCCACTGTATGTTGTCCTTGATTGTTCTTCTCATCGCAGGTAATCTGAGGTTCTTCATTTTCGTGAGTAACTTTTCTCAATCTGAGTTGATGCACTCTGACACAGGTGCCTCCATGTCTAACAAAAACGACTGCACATCTTGACCAATCACCACTCCTGTCCTTTCCACTCTGGACAATCCACTCTTTTGTAAAAGACTTTGTCTCCAGTTTCATATCGCTCATATGGGCCGCATCTGTTTCTTTAGTGCTCTGCGTATCCTTTCTGAACATTCTGCTTCTGTAAAAGCTTTTTCTTGCAGCATGCAAGGCTGAAATGTGCTTAGCTACCCATTCACTTTTGGTGGTGCCCTCTAGAGCTGGAGCTTTGTCTATTAATACAGAAGGCAGGTTAGGATTCTGCCCAAACACCAGCTGATGTGGGCTGTATCCATGGACACTTTGCATAGAGTTCTTTGCCATCAGGGCCCAGTCCATGGCAGTGCTCCAGTCACATCCAGTACTTGCTTTGACTTTCAGTAGGATCTCCGTCAGAGTTTGATTGTGGCGCTCTAACAGTCCATTGCTCCACGGACTGTAAGCAGGTGTTGTCTTAACTTCAATATTAAAGTTCTCGGCCATGTCTCTCACTTCCTCGTTATTAAACTCACCACCATTGTCACTGAATAACTTTTGTGGTGGGCCATGCACACTGATCCAATCATGGATAAAACGTCTGACTATTTCAGAAGACCTCTTGGTGGTTAAGACACTACCAGCACTGAAACGGTAAACTGGTCAATAATGTGTAGGTACCAACCCCAGGTTCAAGTTCGTGCAGATCTACAGCAACAGTTTCATTATATGTAGATGCCAATGTAAGCCCACAGCAGGTTTTGGTTTGGTCTTACAATATTTTTGACACACTTCACTGGTTCACGATGTTTTTCAGCAGGCTGTCACATTCTGTGTCCTTGTTGCCAGAATTAGCCAAAAGTCTCTGTATTTTGTCAGCAGAGGCGTGTCCAAACTGTTTATGAAGTTTCTCCAGAACTTTCATCTTTTCACTTGTGTTCATCTTGTCTGTTGTAGTCAGTATTTCTTCCTCATTAGCTTGCAATAGCTTATCAGAGTGAATGAAATTTCTATTTTCACTGTCCACAATGTTCACACAGTAATGACCTGAACTAGTAAAGTCCAGTTTGACAGGCTGGTTGAACATCACTGCACTGTCCCTTTCCATGTCCAAAACAGTCCCTGCCCTTTTCAATGAGGTTTTACTCAGCAGCAGTGGGATGTTAGCAGGTACTACTTCAGTTTCTATATTACACTTTGTGTTGCCAATTTTAGCAGGTATCTTTACCTTTTTTATGGAGTAGACGATTTTTCCATCTCCAAACTTGAAGGGTCTGTGACTTTGTGTTTCTGTCTCTTTCATAGTCTTCACAGTTTTCTTTTGTAACACAGTACTGTAGTTGTCCAGCCACTCTTGTCCACAAACTGTCCGAGTGCAAGCAGTGTCTATTATTGCTGAGCCAAAACATTCAGTCATGAATATTTCTGCATCCGTTGGTGATTCTTTGGTGTACAGAGTTAAATTGCACTCTTCCACGTCTTTTGTATCATCAGCAATTTTAACACTATCAGCTTTGTGCGGACAGTTTTTAACCCAGTGAAAAGTACTTTGGCACACTGCACATTTTGACCGTCGTCCGTACTTATCCAGCGGGTTTGTACCGGGCTGCGGAGTGTGGGGCTGTGAGTTTTCTGATGGGGACTCTGCCGCCAGAACTTGCCTTTTTGCCGCCGTTGCTCCGTTGCAAACACGGACTCCTGGCTAATGCCTTCTGCTGCCGCACCTCTTTTCTCGCCAAATATTCTCTTCAAAGCGGACTTCATAGAAGCAAATGTTACATCTGAGCATGCCGTTAAAGCCAACTGCCTGTCCGTTATATCCAAACACGCGGTGTCCAACAGCTTAAAAGCCAAAACAGCGTCAGGTAGCTCCATGTTGTATTTCTTCATCCGCGAGTAACGCTGCTCGAAATCAATAATATAGTCCGCCATCGACATGTTAACTTCTTTTATTATCCGGTCAAAATCCGAGTATGCTTCATAGATTCTGTCCTTTTCCTCTTTTAAGAACAAGTCATCTAGTTTAGCGAACAATGTGGTCATTCCAGTGTCTTTATTTAGATCGTCTACCGGAATTTCCATCGCCGTGTCCCGCGCTCTTCCAGACAGAGCCAGGGCGACAGCCAGCGCTTGCTTTTTCTTCTCCAAATCTGTAACTCTCGTCCAAATGTTGACTTCATTCTTCCAGCTTTCGTAAGGCTTTCCTTCCTCAAACGTTGGCGGAACTCTGTAGTTACTAACCATCCTCTGCTACCAATGTTAGTCAGTAAAAAAAAAACTCGTTTCTTTTCTTTGCTCAACTTTATTCCGCCATGTGCATCCCCGAACAGACAGACAGAGAGCACCGAAGAAGAACACAAACCAATAACATATGCTCCTGGCATAACAGTGCCCCTAGTGGGTGGACATGTAATACAAACAAAACAAAGGCGTAACATAAATATTCTTTTAATGTCTTTTTAATGTATTGCATGTATCAGGGTTTTTTTGTTGTTTTTTTGTTTTTATTTTTGTTATTTTCAAGTCTATAAAATAATTTTAAAAAATGTTTCTTTAAGTTGTTTTTTCATTTAAACCAATAAAATAGAAAAAATCATACTCACTATGAGGCATTGCTGCAGAGTTAATTAATCAATTTAATCAGCTGTCCAATGCTGCTGGATGCTCAATAAGGAGGAGTGATTGTTGCAAAGTTAATGACTTGATAACATCAGATGGATTTCCTTTGAAAACTTTTTTCAACTTGAATAATAAACTGACTTCAGCTGCAGATTTTTTGTAGGATTTAATCAGAATGTATGTAATCGACAGTGAATCTATCAATGGGATTTGATTGAAATAACTACCTGTTTACAAATTGGATGTTTTAAAAAGTGTTTTGAGACTAAATTTTACTGCAAATCATCAATGTATGAGGAATCTCAACTGATTTGAAACTGAAGGATTTCTCATTTTGTATCTTATTCATAAAAGACTAAAGAAAAAGAGCAACTATGAAAGTTATTTTTCAGTCTTGACCATTTTACATTTTGCACAACAATATATTGAGAGTAATACTTACACAATTTTCTAAACATTGAGAGATAATATCCATTCCCCCTCTTGGGAAATTATTTGATAATTGGCTAATATCAGAAAATATATCGGTCTGAAATGTTTTGACACAGCATGTGTGGAAATCCTGCTGGTTAAAATGTAAACTCTAAAGCAGTAAACATGAACATTAGTTCTGCTAATGCTTAAAAATTATTATTCAACCATAGTATTTATCTGGAGCTAATGCTGAAGGACTAAACTCATCAATGTTGGAGTTCATTTAGAGGAAGCTAATTGTGCTAAATGTTTTCAAAGTTTGCAGCAATGCTAAAGAACTACACAGAAAAAAAATAACCTGCTATTAGGTTAGCAGGTTATAAATGTGCTGAACTCAAGTTCTACACATTTTTATGTTTTGGTCTGAATTATAGACACAATTTTCCAATTAAATGTCAAATTTGTTTCAAATCTTGCAAGGAAAAATAGGGCCTCAATTGTCGGCTCACTGATGACTCCAACAGGTCCAGACTCACCCCATTGGCTCTGCTCATAGCCTGGAAGTAGATGCTGTAGCTCTTGGCCGGTGACAGCGGAGGGTTCCAGAAGCCACCGTAGCTTTTGTTGTCTCCCACTGTGAATGGCTGAACCACCGTGAGACTGGAAGGCGGAAGATCAGCAGCCATGTAGTACCCAGAGTTGAGGATGGAGGCGTTGCGGAAGCTGAACGGGGCAGAAAAGCACTCTGGAGCTTCAGAGGCGGCACGCCGACTTTTAGACTTCCTCTCTTCCTTCACAACAAGCTGGTAGGAGCTGGAATAATAAAGAAACGGTTTTTCAACAAATCAATCAGCAAATCATTACTCCAATGTATTAGTAATGTACAAAACTACTCATGCAGTCAGAATTTCTTCATATTTTCATCTCTAAGCAGTTATTTTGTCATTCCTTAAAGGGAGGTAATAACTCAGTCATTAAGATCTTCTAAAAGGTCTTTCAATTGTTGAACTTTTCTTCATTTTTTGAGAGGTTTCTATTTTGAGAGGGATGTGTTTTTGTGTTGGACCTTAAGAGTGACCTGTTATGGTTAGATTATATCTATATTTTTGAGATTCAAGTCTGGTCAGTTCTTCCTATTTTTAAATCCTTCCAGAATGAGCTGTTTTAGGGCCTCTGTCACTTTAAATCCAAATAAGCTGCTCAACATTTACATTCATACACGGAAATTATTTCAAACAGGTGTTTAATTATATACCTCTGCATCTTTGAAAAGCAGACGTGGGGCCTCCTGCACAACCAACAAGAATGCAAAAAGTGATTTATGGATGTTAATATAGATATTCATTGAATTTGAAGCTCTGCTTTGAATTTCCTAATAAAAAATTAGGTCTAACATGCATTTTAGAGATTGAGAAACTTATGGATGGATAGCAGGTTTGGTCAGCTAATGAACAGTAATGGATGTGTGCATGCATGTACTTGTATGTGCTTCAGCAGGTGTGATTGTGTGTATATGAACAGTTGTAGTGATGTTTCTTCTCTTAGATGTGCTTCAGTGTGTGTGTGTGTGTGTGTGTGTGTGTGTGTGTGTGTGTGTGTGTGTGTGTTTCCACTGAGCTCTGAGAGGCCCCTATGAATGGTTGAGGGGCTCCTTCAGCGGTCAGGACAAATGCAGCGGCCCTCTGCAATTACCTCCATCCTTCATGCCAAGAACTCACTTCACAATTATACACAATTAGGAAAATGTATGTTCCTGTGAACGGGCCGCGGCCAATTATCCCCAGCTCCCGTTTGGCAGCTTTCATAAAAATAATTGCTGATGACCAAAGATGAGTCTCTCCCGATGTCACGTTCTGTACCCTTTTTACCATTTTGGCTGAATATCCATTTCAAATTAAAGCCTTTTAGGGGCTGCACAAAATATGAAGAAGGACAGAAGAGGAAGCAGGTAGTTAATTCACTCAGAGAGAGGAAAGAGAGAGAAATTTTCATGTTGCTTTAGTCGCAGATTTCTTTTTTTGTTGGAAAGTAACTTCAGATTATTTGTCTAAAATTTGCCTAATCACTTTTTTTTTTTAATTCTCAAGAAACTTAACTCAGTTGCTGTGCTAATTAAGCAAATAACGTATATTACAATATGCACTTATGAATGTTTTTTTTTTTATAAATCTCAAGTATTTGTGTTAATATCAGAGGTCCACTCTATTAAATTTCATGGACTGTAAGTGGAGTTTGCAAATTTCATATGCTTCAATCATTTTGGAAAAATACAATTTTGTTTATTTGGGCAATAAACAAAAACATTAAACCGTCTATATTGTGTATGAGGAATATTTGCTGTGTGAAAAATCATGAAATATGGCATAAGGTTCATAAGTTTCAACAACTAGTCGCTCTTTTTTTCTTTTCATTCAGTCGAAATTTTTTACCTGTGTTGATCCTCGAAGACATCAAACATAACTTTCTGAAGCAAGTAAATTAAGTAAAATTTGATTCTCCAACTGAGCCTCAAATGAAAATGTTTGTAAGAATATGAGATGCAAGACGTAACACTTTAACTGTGACCCTCCAAAGACATTTAACTTAATAAGTCCTTATCCTACTCAGTAGTTTATTATGTTTAATAATAGTAAAGTATATTTTTCTCTTATTCTGCAACAGTGTACTTACTTTTTGTTTTTACATTTTACCTTTTCGTCCATCACTTTGCTGTAAATTCAGCTGGATTTTTCCCCTGAGGAGCAATAAAGGATATCTACTTTCTATTCAGCTTTCCAAATAATTAATTGTTTCCAAATTAAGATCACATTTATTATTCATTTGAATCAATGTGTTACTTTAACAATGAGGTTTATTTCTTTAGACAAGTTGTGGGTGAAAGCTTGAAAATTAAAACTTGAAATAATGATCATGTTTTGAATTCTGTCATGTTTTCTCTGAGTTATGCCTTCATATAGTGGAGAGTAAAAGGTTTAAGGCCAGAAGTGACTAATGATCATTTCTCCTTCTCTGGGTTCTTTTGCATACAAATTGGACTTATATGTGTAGAATACTTTAATGACTGTAAAAAATGCCCTTGAGGAAGAAGAAAGTAGAGCAGGATGAAAGAGAGCTTGGAGCAGAAAATACGGAGGAGAAGAGCAGGAAGGTAGGAAGGACTGTAAAATAGAGAGGATATTCCTTCATGCTGCTCGTCTCTCAGCAGCATGAAGGAAAGAAACGGAGACATACAGGCAGAGCTTCAGACATTTACCTGATTGGTGCTCCTCTGGACTGGGCAGGCTTCAGCAGGATGGTGATGGTTGTCTCCGTCTCATTGAGAGCCATTTCTGATTCATATTCCGGCATCATGGGAGCTGAAATGAAACATTTCACACAACGAAAACAGGGATTAGTTCATGAACAATGACCAAACCAAGTCTAAATTATTTAAATTTGGCCAATAAACACAATAAACATGACCAAATGTAACCTAATTTTAAAACTGCCATATTGTTGCACAATAAATTTCAAATGAAAACTTCCAGAAAGAGGTAACTTAGTGACATCAGCAGCTTTATGCAGCTTTAGGATCTCAGCTCTGTCTCTTTAATTCTCTCATATCTCAGCAGCAGAACCTAAACATTTTTGTTTGTCACCTTTCACTAGTGTAGCCACTCCCAAGACAGGGCTTGTCACTCCAACACCTGAATAAAACACGGACGTCTCCTCTGATTGGCTGGTAGCGCCGTGGCTGAATTATAACCACATATTGCTGTTTAATTTCTCGCTGCCGTAATTTTGAGTACCTTATTTTGTGAACAAGCTTATTTGTTGTAATTTTAATTTAATTTCTTAATTAATGGAAACACCACAATTGTACGTTTGTGTTTTTTCGACATTAGCAGAAAATCAACAAAGATCAGTATTTGTTGGTTATGGAAACACGACTAGATTCATGTAATGGAACATTTAGTGTAAAAATATCTGGCGATGAAAAAGCTGAAGGGACCAATTCATCCAACCTCTTCTGTTCTGACTGAAGGAATCTCAAACAATTCATTTGGTTTCAGACATTTTGGAAGAAGAAAACCGTTTAATGCGTCTCCCTGTTACAGTCTCAAACTTTGGATTACTTTGTGATGCCGTTCCAGTTTCATATCGGGACCACAATAATCTCATCAGGTGCTGAAAAATGCAATGAAAAGACAGATGAATGTTTCACTGTGAGAGACTTTAAAGCACGGCCTGGTTTTAATTTCACATCTGCCACAGCCTTACTCTGAAGGTGAGTGTAAAATATCTGAGTGAAACAGCAACACTTGGGATTGTTACGACACGGAGGTTATTAACACAAATCCACCCCCTCTGCCTCTTTCTCATCTGTCCATCCATCTTCATCCATCTGCAGCTTTTAATTTAAAATCTCGCTGTTCTTTGGACCCCGAATGAGATAATGAAGATTAAGGATGGCGTGACATTTGGAAGGAGACATATCTTTTATGTGTGGATGGCACATGTTTTTTTTTTCTTCTTATATCAAGATGTTGTTAAGATTAGTAGGAATGATTGAAGGAAGGATGCTCAGTGGAAAGGTCACGCTAAAAATCCCTGCGGGTGTTGACAGAAAGGACAGTGTTTGGAACAAGCCGATGACGCGTGGGACTGAACTCAGCTTAATCTGTGGAAGAACTGAAGACTCCACTTACTATCGACAGGAAGGTTTAATACAATAACTCAATTTAAGCATTTTTGTCCAGTTTCAAGCAAAAAAAATAAAGCCCTTTATAACATTTTCAGAAGGAATTACTGGTAAGGACTGCTTTTATGTTCTCACAAATTTTACATCTGAATATCTGTGAAAACTAAGCAGGATTTCTAATCACTAGAAGATCTGCAAATGCGCTAACAGCAGAGCTAAGTTTTTTTGTTTAGCAGTTTAGCGATTTTGCTCGTTGTAAAAACGTTTAGCTTCCCTTAAATTATTTTATGGTAATAAATTCTGAAGTGCAGATTTACTCTGGCTGTTTGTAAACTTTCCGTTGATTAAAATTCATCACTTGTGCTCAAGAACAAGCTGCTATTTTGAAACAGGTGGTGACACAGCACTTCTGTTTCCTTTCGACATACACCCATCATTTGGAGTAGCAAATTATGTTTACTCTGTACCCAGAATGCATCATGAAATAGCTTAAAAGCTACTGATGCCTTGCATGCTTTCTGGACGAATCCCAATGAGCAATAGAGTTAGCAAATCTCAACAACTATAGAAAACCTGAAACCCGAGTTAAAATTCTGTTCCAAAGAATCACAAGTAGATGTGCAACAAATAAACTGACCTTGTTGAGGAGGATTATTTGTGTTATGTAATCGACACAAGGTGGCTATGAACACGAATAAGTTTAGTGCTTTATCATTAGCTTCTGCTAATGCTTCAGCTATAGTAGAAATAATGCTAATTTTTAGTGCTTTAGAGTTAATCCCCACCACTGTTTAATCATTTCTCACACTTGGGATATGAGAGGTAACTAACTCTGCACAAAAACACAGTAAATTAATTAAAATCCATTGTACCTTTTTCAGTTATGTCAATTTAGTATACTTGCTAAACAGCAACAAAGCAGCAACTGACAGAGCAACAGTGAAAGGTTGAGTACAATAAAAGAGTAAAACAGACAGAAATAAGAAAAAGAAATAAAAACAAGAAAGCAATGCAAATCTAAAAACAATGAGTAGAATGAGAAGGACTGAGTCAGATATAAAAGGCAAAGAGATTCACAAACAAAAGAGCTTTTATGGTGTTATCAGTCACTCTCCCATTAAAATCACAAAGGACAACCTTCTACAAACAGCATGAGGAAAAATGGAGAAGCTCTGTGATTCTTATGTGGAAATGTCGTATTATGGTTTGGTTTGTTTTGTTCTGCTTCTTTGTGACGCCACTGACATTTTACGTGGACTGATGCGTGTTGATACAAACAGGATTACAAATGGAGAGAAAATGTCATAAAGCTGCCAGTCAGTCAACCAAAAACAGAGACAGACTCGTTGAGAGACAAAGAGGCTGAAGCGTTGGCTCAACGGTGGCTGGAAATATTAGGCTGCAGTGAGGAGCACAGAAGAAGAAAAATCAACCCAAAGGGAACAAAGACGGAAACAAAAGTTTACCTGCGATCTTTGTGGTTATGCGGGTGGTGACGGGGGGCCCGAAGCCCTTGTTGGTGGAGGCTTTCAGGGTGAAGAAGTAGGTGGTTCCGGGGTAAAGGCCGACAAACAGATGGTGGGTCTCGTTCCTCAGCTTGAACACTCGTCCCCTCTGGGTCGTCAGGTCAGCACTGGGATCCAGGGAACTCAGGGCCTTGTATGTGATCTAAAGACAGAAACACTGACTTTTCTTTTATTGTGTTTGCAGTTAGTTTCTCGTTATTTTTACACTAGATCTAAGATAGCATCTTAGGATGCTGAAAGAGTTTGGTCGTATTGAAGGAAAGATGCAATATTCCACATCAAATTTTCTGGAAATCAGATATTTAATAAATTATTTGTTAAATAAAATATACTGCTCAAAAAATAAAGGGAACACTCAAACAACACAATATAACTCCAAGTAAATCAAACTTCTGTGAAATCAAACTGTCCACTTAGAAACTGATTGACAATCAATATCACCTGCTGTTGTGCAAATGGAATAGACAACAGGTGGAAATTATTTTCATATTTATTTCATTCATTCAGATCTAGGATGTGCTATTTGAGTGTTCCCTTTATTTTTTCGAGCAATGTACATAAAAATGTACAACTCTTTAGAACTGGAATGATTCTAACAAATCTGTTCTAGCCGCACTTCATAGTTATTTTTAAAGTTAGCCCCAGAATTAGAATAAAAATATTTGTTTTTGTTTTCAGATTCTGACAAAATAATTCACTTTTAACAACCCATATTTTATTCTTTAAAACATCAAAAGAAAGTAGGACCTTAGATACATATTTGATTTTCTTCATGTTTGATTCCCTGCTGAAAACAATCAGCAACCATCACGGTTTAATGTCCAGCCACCTCTAAGTGTCACGTCAAAGCAAACCCACTAAATCAATCTTGAGGTATTAAATTGGCTGTTAAACATCGCACTGATCAATTTTGGAGTTAAAGTGGTGTTAGCTGTTTACAGCAGGTCACTGTGTCTCCACATGATCTCCACTCTGACAATGAAGCCGATTGAACAAATCGATCCTATCGACTAAACCATCAGAAATGCTTCAGCAGTACTTTTAAAAGAACCGTCAATGTCGCTGCTTTTTGCGACTTTCCACACATCAATGATTCCACGCATAGACATGGTCAAACATGCATGTGTAACACCAGAGGACAGCTGCTGCTGTGCATGGCAGTCAACACCAGAACCTCTGACTGGGGGGTAAAAGAGCGTTTCAACACATTTCAACAAAGTGCATGTGTCAGTATGAGAGCATTTCAGGCTGACTTGCAGATCTAGATAAATGGAGCAATTAGGTGGCAGCAGGACGAACTAAATAAACCCTTTCAATGAAAAACATTCTCCAACAATCTGAGCAAAATACATTAAACTTTAGACATTAAACAAATGAACTAAACCTTGTGTCCTTTATAGTTTGAAGCTTTCTATCTGAAATGCCTGTCATGCTTTTGATTATGGGATGTTTACGACACAAAGTTAGAAATATGTAAGTGTATTTTCATCAAAACAGCAACATTTGTTCCCTCTCCAGCTGCTGTGGTTCTCTTTCTCACTGCACTGAATCAAACCAGCGAAACCGTTTGGCCATCTGTTCCCATCCTCGCCTCAGGGGCGCTGCACCAAGAAATACTGAAGGAAACAACACAAAAACCTCAAAAGAAGAAGCTGAGCCAACTTCCTTCTTCACCAAAAGGAGGCGGCAGATTATTTTTTTGTTTACATGTCGAATCAAAAAAACTGAACTGCTACAGAAGATTTCAATCCGACTTGAATTAGCTCAAAACAGGAAATATAAATATCAATAAGTAGTAAACGACACAACAACAGCATTATTATGTGTTTGTACATTTTAAGTTGAATGACATTGCAAATGAGTTTGGGTTAGAGATATTAACAACCATATGCAAATAAGTTCAATATTCATTTCTATTATACCAACTTCACCAAACTTACGGGATTGGAGTTTAATTTTATTACATTTTAGTCCATAATGCCACCCATAAAATATTTCTTTTGCATGTGCCTGATACTTTACATTAAATAAACAAGAATTGGGACAGGTTTGGCCAAAGTAATACTAATAAGTCAAAACATGAAGATTACAGTGACTGAGCAGAGACTCCATAATCCCAAGTTACATCATTTACAATATCATATAAATGCACAAAATGACACCAAAAAGTTCATGAAAGGATGACGAAATCATTGCAGAAGGTTCAGGAATGGACTGAAAGTTACGCTGAAAGCTTGAAAGAGCAAAATGAAAAGTGGCAACAAGTGATGTAGATGGATGTTGTGCTGTAAACGGGTAGCTGGGAGGCTGGAAATGTGTGTGTGGGTGTTTGGTGGAGCGAGGCAGCAGCAGGACCATCTCAGCACTTCACACCCTTGGACGTCAGACGGGCCCTTGTCACTCCATTAACAGAGCCGAATCAAAAGCACCGACAGCTGGCTGCCTCACTTCAGCTGAGCCTGCGGGCTGGAACGGTGATGTGTGAACGTGTGACTGTTTGCATGGATGTGATTCAGGACAGAGGAGAACCGGACAGAACAAAAAAATACAAAGAAAAAAATTATATATATGCATATTCATATATTTAATAACTTGCATATAGCTCAGTTTTATAATATAAAAGGTATCGTACTAAAAGCATTGAGAAACATTTCAACAGTCTTGCTTCAGTCGTGATTTCTGTACCACAAAAACACAAAATCGTAAGTATTTTTGATACAGTTTCAAATTCAAAAATACTGCTCGTTTTGTTTTCAGTCAATATTTTTAAAGCACTAGACAGATTATTTCACTAATAAGAGATTCTTCCAATGTTGAATGAAAGTCAGTTTTGTCTTATTTCGACTCTACTAAGATAATTACAACACAAACTAAACCAGAAATACTGGGAAAGATTTTGTGTTTTAGAGTCTTACAGTAAAGTTTCAAGTCTGAGTTCTTATTTGAATGAAAATAAGCAGAACTTTATGGAGCTTCAGATCTCGGCCACCAAATAAATTAAAACTGAAATAGACGAGTTGCATTTCCAGATGAAACATATCTGGTCACTTTTGGGTTTCTCCTCCAGGGAAAGTCTAGGTAGAATGTAATAATAAACATTTAAATATATTTAATAATAATAAATTTTTTTGGCAAAGCTTTGTGTCTGCATTTCCTGTTTATACCTCCAAATGTGATCTTTTTTTATTTTGGCCCTGTGTCTCCTCTGTGGTATTGAAGTTGCAGTTTTTTTAAACGCTTCATATTTGTTTCAGATTTCAGGTCTAAATTTATACTTTATAAGTGTATTTAAAGATCATGTAAAGATCTCTATTGATGGATGATATGGTTTTCTTATGCTTCAATTCAGATTAAACTATGTTCTAAAACTTAAAGCGTAAAGTATAGAATTCACTTAAGATTTAGTCTGATTTCCAAGCAAAGATGGAAAGATTGTGTCTGTATAAAATATACTGAAATTACTTCAGAGCTCTTTTGATTTTCAACAACTAAGTGTCCCAGCTGTACCTGAATGCAGCTGTTGAGAAAATTCCCTCTCCAACAGATATTCCTCTGACTTGCACATTATATGATGGATGGAGTTTGGGCTGCTTAGATAGATTTGGATGTCAGCTGATTTTTCCGATATTTATATTCAAGCTTGACGTTTCAGGTGAGTAACTCAGTTAAGGGCAGAACAAGATGAAAAATGCTGCCATAGAGTTCTGCTTCGCTCCATCTTTCTTTCTCCATCTGCATGAGAAACCTTCAAGGGACGGTAATATTAGGTACATTTTACAGCACAATGAAGTAACTACTGTATGTTACCTTCAGTTATTATAAAAATACAAAATATAATCAAACATAACTTAAGATAAATTCAACTTTGTAATTTGATGTGCTGAAATTGGGCCGCTTTCTCTTTGAGAAGCTCCTGCTCTTTCCTTCGACTTCAGGACATAATCACTACAGTGCTTCTCATTATGCCGTTTACAGCCAATTCTTATGAGTGTTGGACTGAGACTGAGCTCAGCAGAGATGCATTTCCACCAGGTATTTGCTAATAGCTGCTGCTCTTACCAGGATTTAATATATTAAGAGCTTTTTATGACATAGCATTACAGGCCAATCCAAAAGCATTTTAAACCTGCATTTGGTAAATTATTAAAATATTACTGTCTGAAGAAATGCAGCACTGCTGACCACAAACAACAAAACAACCAATCAGAGCCAGGAGGAGGGTCTCAGTGATGTCAATCACTCCCGTGTACTCACTGCTCAATGTGCTAATGATGGAGAAACAACTTGTTGTTACAGGAAAATCCTTCTCTGTCATTAGTGCCAGCAATAAGACCCGCCTCCTGGCTCTGATTGGTTGTTTCTAGTTAGCATTGGAAGAAGGGAGAGGAACTCCCTTCTTCCAATGTTGCTGAATCTAACGTATTTCACTGATTTTCTGTCTCATACCATCCTAAACCGTCACGACACAGTGACAGTTTTAACAAAAATGTAACAAATTCCTGAAATTTAACTGAATAGAGTAAAACAAACAAAATATTTCAACTTCTTTTCTCTGACGCAAAACCATTCAAGTCCAAAATTCTTGCTAACCATTTAACCAATAGATGACAAAAGTGTAAAATGGAGCAGAGAGACTGACAGAGCAGGAGCCCTGACTTCCACAGGCGTCTGACGTCTCTCCGGCTTTAAAGTTCGCTGGCTGAATAATACATGGAGGATCAATAGCTATTTATACAGGCAGGGACTTAGGGGCTGGAACAATAAAATATCATCTATTTCATCTATGCTGCAGTTTTGGTTTGCACATCAATGGCCCTTATTTTATAAGTCATGAATGGCTCTATATTTTTATGGGCTTTGCTCTCTCCCTCTGTCTACAGTTTGCTCTTACCCTTCTCACTTTTTCCATCTTTTTCCAGGCTAGTAAGAGGACAATCTTTCTTCATTTTATTACCCCTAATGGCATTTCTCTCCCCATGTCTTTTCTCACACCATTTTCAATTCCTCCGCCTGCCCATTCTCTGCTATCTCTCCATTTCCACCATTTTTCTCCTCCTCCCTTTCTTCCTCTCTCCCTGGCTCCCTGTGGTTGATGTACTTCGAATCGGTAGAGCTGTAAAGCTCAGGTTGTTTTATTGGCCA